CGGAAGGCAGAGGATGCTAGTGAGCTCTCAGTTGCCTGCAAATGCTGCCTGTGCCCAGGCAGGCTGCTCCATGCAGGGGATTATTGCTGCGTTAGCGTGTCAGGGCTCATGCAGCTCCAGATGTGGGTGAACCACCTTGGGGTCTGATAGCGCTTTTGGGAAGCCAAAGTGGTGTGAGTCCTCCCCGCCCTTCCTCAGGCGCTCCTTGCGACTCGCCTACAGTGTTCTGGCAGCACTGATATTTACTGGTGCCTGGTGTTTTTATTTTCTACTTACTGATGAAGAGCCAGTGTTCTATAGTCCCGTTAATACTTTGCCAGTGTAGGAGCCCCTCCGGCGTAGTCACCGTGGCTCTCCCACCACCAAGGACTGTAGTCCTCCGTAGTTCGTTATGCGCTCCCCTCTTTCTCATCCCTCCTCTCGCTCCTCCCTCCCCTTCTGGATACCTCAAGTCTATGATCAGTCTGCAAGCTTAAAGTTTGTCTTCGACCCTTTGTTTGGTTCCTCTATATTCCACATATAAGTGACATCATATGGTATTTATCTTTTTCCTTCCAGCTTATTTCACTTACATAATTCCTTCCAGTTCGATCCATATTGCCACAAGTGTCATGAGTTTATCGTTTTGATTGCTGAGTAGCATTCTATTGTGTATATATAGCACCTCTTCTTAACCCACTCGTCTGTTTGGGGGCACTGAAATTGTTTTGATGGCCTCAATTTTACTGTACATGCCAAATTTTGTTATTAGGGCATGAGATTTGAAATAAAAGAGAAACTGGGGTTCTTTTCTCTCCTAAAGAGCTTTGCCAGTACCCTGACTCTTCTGTGGTGTTTTTAAGCAAATAAAAACATTTCTGATGGATATATGAGAACATACATGACTTCTGTAAGGCCATGTAACCCACAGTTCTGGCCCAGAGTGTGACTTCTATCACTGGCATAGTAGGATCTAGGTCCCTAACAAATGGTTCTTAGCAAATGGTTGCAAAGATGAGCCTAGAGGTTGTAGAGTGGACATGCAGGGTTGGGACCTGGGAATAACCAGCCTCAGAAAATCCAGTTGTACAACCTGGTCAGAACCTCGGAGAGCTCCAGGTACCTGCAGGCTGCCCGCTGTAGGTTGTCAGGAGTTGGCTCCAGTGCCAACCCCCCGCCCCCTGCAAGTAGGAGCCTTTTTAATGTGGGTGATGAAGGACTTCAAGGACTTAGGTCTTGGTGCTTGTGTGCAGACTTCAGGCTTCAGGTGTGGAGGGAAGTGAAAATTCTCACAGCTGCCGTGGGCAGTGTGGTTTTGAATCTCCTCCCTCTAGTCAGGATAATGGTTCTTCCTGGGAGAAGAGGGAAGCAGGAGAGCTACCCCAGAAGGCCAAGTTGGGCCCCTTGGTCTGTTCTGCACCTTGCAGCCTTTGGCAGGTCTTGTATCCTTCCAGACTGGAGCTCATGATTCTGATATCTCAATTAGGGGAGAGAAATCAGCCCTCGCCCCCGAAAGTGTTACTGTGAAGAGCATTTAAAAAACATTCTGCTGAAGCACTTTAATTTATTTAAGCCTTTGCAAGTGTAAGGGTGTAACACTGCTAGTATCATTATCTATTTTTGGAGCCTACCAATAGGTGTCCATGGCATCTGATGCCTGTGAAAGTAAGGTGTTCAAGAGGTCTGCTCCCTGGCTCGTATTTGCATGGTAATTGGCACCATGGGCTGCACTCATGTCAGATAGTTTGAGCCAGAAGAGAGTGTACAGGGATGTGGCTTGCTGTGAAGTTTGAATAGGTTTTGAATGAGTGTGTCTTGTGGGCTTTTGGAAAGAACTGGGGATTTCAGTAGGGGTGTGACAAGATCAGACACTTGGTTTAAGCAAATGTCCCTTGTGGCAGTGTGGATTCTGAACTGGGAGGGGAGACGTGAGAGGCAGGAGATGTTACTTAAAACAAGGGGATACACAGGTTCTAAGCTACACAGGTTGGGTGCGGATTCTGACTCCTACTTACTTGATCATGGGCAAGTTTGGTTAACTCTGCATCTTGGCTTGTTTATCTGTAATAGGGTTGTTTAGCTTAAAAGTTGCAACCCAGTGAAGGTCTCAGAGCAGGTTTTCACACATAGGGAGCACGCAAAGGTTGGTAGGTGTCCGGTTATGCTTTACTGCGGCAAAAATGTGTAACATGCAATTTACCTTTTAACCATTTAAAAATGTGTAATTTAGTGGTGTTAATTCCATTCACAATGTTGTGTAACCATTGCTACTATTTGTTGGCAAAACTTTTTCATCACCCCAAACAGAAGCTCTGTGACTATTAAATATGAACTTCCACTGCCCCTCCCGTTCTGTGGTGACCTCCAATCTCCTTTCTGTCTCTATAATTTGGCTCTTCCAGGTGCCACTATTAAGTGGAATCACACAATACTTGCCCATTTTTTCTGACTTATTTCATGTCACAGAATGTTTCTAGGCTCAGCCATGCTGTAGCATGTATCAAAACTTCATTCCCTTTTACAGCCGAATACTGTTGGAAGGCGACACTGTCTTGTTTACCCATTTGTCTCTTGATGGACACTCGGTTTGTTTCTTTCGGTTATCGTGACTAATGCTGCAGTAGAAGTCAGCATACAAGTATTTGAGTCCTTTCTCCCAGCACTGGTTTCTCAGCCCTTGAGAGCTTGCTTTTGATCAGATCAGCCCCTCTGAGCTTGTGGGTGCTTCTCTGAAGACTTGGGTGAGAGCATTTGTGCTGAGGCTTCCTGCAGTCAGCACCCCAGGCTCAAACATTTGCCCCTCCCTTGCCCTGGCCCAAATGACGCCAGTAGCAGGTAGTGCTAGTAAACACTTGCCATATCCCCCACAACCCACTGAGTTTTCTGGATTACTCCTCAGCAGAGGGGCTGTGTCACTGAATCATCTTATGTCCTGGTGGGACATGTGCACACACAGTTGTGTTCACTCTGTGATGGAAGCTGAGGGTTCAGCAACTATTCTTCCCTCGAAGAAGCAACTGTTAGGGAATGAGCCCCTGTGGTAGCTTGCTTGCTTTACTTCTAGAGCCGTAGCAGGCTGGCAGCCATCACCACACAAGCATCCCGTCATGCAACTCGGGAGGGCAATGTTTGCAGATCGTCCCCTGATGCCATCTGCTTGGGAGGCTGCAGAACCCCCTGGCAACTGCTGTTCTAGCAGGTGCTGGGGCGCTGGAGGTGGGTGTCCGTGTGCGTACACACACATGCGCGCAGCCTGGTGCTGCATCGGCCTGGGACGCCAGCTGTATCCCCCACCCCAGCAAAGCACCAGTCTCTGCTACTGGTTTCCGGTGCAGCCCTGGTGAGGGAGGGAGGCGAGGCTGTTGTGAACAGGGCCAGATACTGGGGATTGGATACTGTAACTGACGCTGCTGCGTAGGAATCTGCCAGGCAGTGGCTGTGTTTTGACAAGCTTTTGTTCTTTCCTTTCCACCTCTGCTCTCTGCCCAGGCTGACTCGTGGCCCCTACCAGTTCCTCATCACCTTCTCATCTCATAGCAGCCCAGCCCTGTTTCTTGCCCCACGCGCACTCTAAAGGACGCGTGGCCATTCCTGCCGTTCAGCCACGCTTTGGACTAGCCCGTAGCTTCGTCCTTTTCCTAAGTCACTGTGGTCATTGTGTGCAGAAAACCCAGAGCACCCACCCTCTCCCATGCACTCTAGGCTGCGGTTTGCGAGTTACTATCATGCCAGGCGTTTAATGCTTCAGGAAGGAAGGGGAGATGGGTGGCACACGTACATTTGGGGGTGTGACGTATCCCCAAAACTATAAATTTATGTAAATGACAAAAATAGTGCGCTTAAAAAAAGAATCAGGGAAATCATTAAGATACTTAATTGTCTTAGCTGTCAAGTGTTTTTTTTTTTTTT